TATTTGTTGATTGCTGCATGTATTTTAAAGTTCTATGCCTTTGCAGTTAGATGGCTTTCCTTACTTTGCAGCTATTGGGTCAATTGCTTGTCAATTATTATTAGGTTCCCTAGTCCTGCCCCTTTTTTGGGCTTTGGAGGGAAGTGAGCCATTTTGTTAGTTAGTCTAAGCTAGGTCAGCCAATGTGTAGGATGTGTGTAACTTCCCCTGTACAAAGGCTTCAACCTTTAAGAATCTCCAGGGAAAGAATGCCAGGGAAGCATTCCCACAGCTTTAAGCAATCCAGGGGAGAACAGCTTTAAGAACTCCAGGAAAACAGCCTTAAAGACTAAAGAGCTCCAGCTGGAGAACATCCACTGCCTTGCTGGTAGGTCCACTCGGCGTCCGAGAAGCAGTTTGACCTGGTAGCAGAGCACGCATCAGTGAAGGTTGAATTTTAGTCAGCCTGGGAGAAGTGAAAAAGGGGAATTTTCCTTTAAAGAAAAGTTATTGAAGATAGTGCCTGTCCCCTGTGGACAAGATTGAGAGAACCAATATTTTATCAAGAAAGCCTTGAAGTTCCTGTTTGATTTCATTAATAAAGGACTTTGTTGTTTTTCTCAAGCCACCTGAATATTCTTTTGTAAAGGAAGTCCCTGAGAACTTCTCCTTGGGCTTCCCGCTGGGCAAAAAAGCCAACCAAATACAGGCCCAGCGGCGACAGAACAAATACTATATTTCCTTGCATAATAGTCACTAATACATAATAGTTGCACCTTCATTTTTGGGGTGGTAAAATTGGAACATGCAAGCACCCTCACCATGACAAGGTGACAGTCCATCGAGGAGGGATATTTGGAGTGTACATATGTTGTCAACAGCTAATTTTGTGTACAGTGCTCAGTCTGCTTTGATCATTCTTGAATGAGCTGCAAAACACAAATTTAATTGTGACTGCACAAAACTAAAGGAGACAGAAGGCCTTGGAGGAGGAAAAGGATTCAGCATTGTTGTTCATCAAACCAGAATTAATAAAAGCAGTGCAGATAGATATTTTGTAGCATTGTTTCTATATATAAGCAAAATAAGGTGATTGCTGTTTTTGTAGTTAAAATAGAATAAAAATAATGTAGCAAATTGAAATACTCAGGAAAATATGCACTGCCAATAACCCCAAACAGTCCCTTTGCCAACAATAACAAATAACTTTGTCTCTCTCATTCTTTCAGCTGTAGTTGTTCTTTGGTTTCACAGAGATACATTATTTTGGGAGGGACAGATATGACTCCAGAAATTTGAGGCAGTTATTTCAAGACAAAGTGAGGGAAACAAAAACAAAACAAGTAAAAGTGAAGAACACCAGTTCTGCTATAATAGTCTATGGGGCCTAAAAGATTGCAAGATGCTAGACGATTAGTTGTTTCAGCTAAAGACTTCCTTTCATACTGAGACATTTACCTGTCTTAAAATCATATTTCAGGGAGAACAACTGTGAGATTATTATGCTTTTAAAAAATTCTTCTAATTCAGTGGTCCTTAACTTGTGGGCTGCGGACCACCAGTGGGTTGCAAGGATGACAATCTGGTCCGCAAGCCTCCTTCCTCTTTATTTTTTTCTTTATTTTCTTTATTTACTTTATTTCCGCTCTTTTCATGCCGCCTGCCACTCCTTCCCTGTCGCTCACCATGGCATATGTTCTGTATCAGAAACTAGAGCTGATATGGTCTATCCAATATAATTTTCTGAATCAGAACCCCAAATCAAATTTAAAGTTGACCAAAAACTGATTTACAACCCCTTTGGTACTAATGTTGGAGAGTGGACCCTGGTCAAAGTGGTCCCTGGTCAAAGTCATCCCTGGTCAAGTGGAGCCTGGTCAAAGTGGTCCCTGGTCAAAAAAAGGTTGGGAACCACTGTTCTAACTGCTGTGGTTTTGGTAAACAACAGCAACTGTAGCTTTAGAGTCTTATGTTGAAAGGCCCTTTTCAAGCCCATTGGTACCAGCCCCGCATCCCTGAAACAGGAGACAAGAAGTAATGACTTAAGGCAAAGATCATTTTAAGTATTTAAAATATTTTTGAAGACTTATTTTTCTACAAAAAATAATGGAAGGGATTGGTTGTAAATTCTGCTTTATCTACAAAACATTCTTTAAAGATCCTGTCCTGGCAGTTGTGTGGAAATTCAGTAGTCTATTTGTATGATCTTGTAAGGTCATTCTGTTCTTTGACTTCTGGGGAACTGCCCAGGTCTGATGACAATAAACGTAGTTTCTTTGACAAGAGCAATAAAGAAACTCATTGTGACTTCCTCAACAGGCACAGTTTCATTGCATTTCATGCTGTCATGACTTTTTGTCTCTTCAGTGTGGAGTTAACTCCCGGATAGTGCTTCATTGTGTGAGACACTTTTATATTTCAAGAAAATCTAACTAGCTTCTCAGTCTGTATCAAAATAAATCACATCTCCACAGTATTCCCATCTTTGTTCCTCCATCACATCCCTGCCACGTGTATTGACATTTATTGTACATCTGTTGACATTAAATTGGGAAGGATAGCTAATGTTCCAGAAGACAGCACCAGAATCCAAAATGACCATAACAGATTAGAAAGCTGGGCCAAGACTTACAAAATGAATTTCAGCGGGTAGAAATGTACGGTACCATACTTTGGCAATAAAAATGAAGATAGGATGGGTAACACCTGTCTTGAAAACAGTACATGTGAAAGATTTCTAGGAGTTCTAGTATACCACAGGCTAAACCTGAGTCAACAATATGATGCGGCAGCTAAAAAAGCCAATGCAATTGTTGTCTGTGGTTGAATGGTAGTCTGTGGATTGGGATGGTCTGTGACCTCTTAGCTGGCAGTTTCCAGGAAAGAAATAATCTGTGATTACAGAAATCAAAGATGTTTTGCATATTAGGGGTGAAAATGTAGCAGCTCCTGCATTAGATAATTTAAGAAGCACGATAGGTTCAGAAAGGATCGCTCTTGTCTTAATTTAATGTGAACCTTTGCCAAGTGATCAGTTCAAAGACTTTCAACAGGTAAAAGTGGGTGAATTCACACATTTTTGGCAGTGGTCCTTTCACTCCTTGCATATGACCCCTGAGTATTTTTGAGAGAAAGTGAAGGTCAAGAGAAAACATTCCTCATCCCCTGAGTATATATTATAGATGAAATCTTAATGTTTCTGTAGAAGAGTCATCAGAACAAAGTCTTCCACTGCAGGACTTGGATATGGATACACAGAAGTATGCTTATCTGTAATTTCTATTTTGGCAAACCAGATATGGCTCCTTATGGCCAAAAAGTTTAATTTCCCATAATTTGGTTGTTTCATTAGGATTGGATTTGAGTGTGCCATAATAATATTTCCACTGGCAAATCTTTGGGATTAGGCCACAATTTTAATCCAGGTCAGTCTGACTAGTGGCACAAAACAAGATAGTGATGGTAGTGTTGTCATCACTCACTGCCCTAGACATGGCTGGCATGAATCATCCTCAGTGACGACAGCGTGGCACATTTATTCTTCCAAGTCAATATGTACTCAAGGTGACTTGGTTTCTGCTTCCCTAATCCTGAATCAGATGCTGGTCTAGAAATATTGGAATAAGGCTGGATCAAAACTGCGTTAATGGCCAGTATTGATCATTGCATTGAACAGTGTTATGTGGGTCTGACCAAGTAATGCATATCCAAACTGCATTATATGGCAGTGTAGACTCAGCCTAATATGTAGAATCTTTTATTAGTCTGAACCTTTGTAATGCTATTGGATAGTCATTAGTTCTGCCTGGAATAGGAAATACACCTTTATAACTAGTTATCTTCCATGATAATAATTGCTAAAGGAGAGAAATGATAGGGCTTTTTATAAAGAGCAAGCCCTATGAGGAGCGGCTTAAAGAGCTGTTTAGCATGCAGAAAAGAAAGCTGAAAGAAGACATGATGAGGGCCATGTATAAAAATGTTGAAATGTAGCAATTCTTTAAACAAACTGAACATATGCATACATAAAAGACTAAGCTAAAAGTCAACTCGAAGCACTCTCATTTTTATTAAGCAAGAGCAGCAACAGGCTTTTGTCTTTCTGTTACTTCATGAAATGAAGAGACAGTTTGTTTAGCTTCTAAAATAGCTTCTAACTGGAGCTAATTACAGGGAGCATACAACACCCCTATTACAGTAGCTCCATTGGCTGTTTGTTTTATTGTAATTTGTATTTTATTTTATTGTAATTTGTTGTTTGGGCTTGGCCTCATGTGAGCCGCCCCAAGTCCCCGTTGGGGGAGATGGTGGCAGGGTACAAATAAAGTTTATTATTATTTACCCAGCCCTCGCTCAGGGTCAATTTAAGTCTGAAGTGACTTGAAAGCACACAACAACAACAACAACAACAACAACAACAACAACAACAACAATCCTATCTCAACAGCCAAAAGCAGGCCCACACTTCACATTGAAATACTAATAAGTTTATATTGGTTAAAATTGTTCTTCATTTTAATTATTGTATTGTATTTAAGAGTTTTTTGCACTACAAATAAGATATGTGCAGTGTGCATAGGAATTCATTCATGTTGGTCCTCCAACACTTTGAGGGACTGTGACCTGGCCCTCTGTTTAAAAAGTTTGTGGACCCCTGATCTAGATTGTTGAATTTTACGATGCTCTTATTTTAGGGGTGTTTTTGTTTTAATGGATTGTTTTGCTTTTATGACTGTTGGACTTTCTGTCCTATATGTAAGCCACAATGAGTCCCATCAGGGAGATGGTGGTGGGGTATAAGAATAAAGTTGTTGTTGTTGTTCCTGCTTCTGCTGCTGTTCTTCTCGTATTATTATTATTATTATTATTATTATTATTATTATTATTATTATAGCCTGAAAATTGAAGCATTAGTGTTATATCTGTAACCATTCCTCTGAAACCATCAAGAAGTATGGGATGTTTATTGCATATTTTTCTCACCCCATTTTATTGACCTTCTCCATTATTTTAACAGGTTAATATTGTATTAAATAAGCCATTTATTTCCTGAAGACGATTTGAACAAAACAGCAATATATACAGAAATCCGGAAGGTTTCTCCTACCTAACACAGGCATGCCTTTTCTGAAGCTACCCTGGCTGCATCAGCAGAAGAAGATACCATGGAGGCCAAAAGTCTTGGGTAGGAAGGGAACTTTTCGGAAGCCAGGCATCCTTGGTCTGCAGAATTATCAGACTTTGCTGGAAGATTGCTTGAAGAAGGACTACCGCTTTGAAGATGAGCTCTTCCCAGCTGATCTTAGCTCCATTGGGCCAAATATACTCTTGAAACTACCTGCCAATATACAGTGGAAGAGGCCTGGTGTAAGTGATGCAATTTACAAAATGGGATTGTTTGAAAAGTTTCCTTCTCTTTTCAGAGGGTCTGAAAAATCAGAACGGAAAGAATAATTGGAATAATTTGAAAAATTGTCAAGTAACCCCCTCCCACACACACATTTTATTTCTTGGGTGGCATTTCTTTTTTCACAAACAAAATGATCAAACAATTAGACTCATACTTGTGAGCTCTAGGGCTCCTTGATACATGCTCTATAGCAGGGGTCCTCAAACTAAGGCCCGGGGGCCAGATACGGCCCTCCAAGGTCATTTCCTGGCCCTTGCTCAGGGTCAACCTAAGTTTGAAATGACTTGAAAGCACACAACAACCATCCTATCTCATCAGCCAATAGCAGGCCCACACTTCCTACTGAAATACTAATAAGTTTCTATTATTTAAAATTGTTCTTATTTTAATTATTGTATTGTTTTTAAGGTGTTTTTTTTGCACTACAAATAAGATATGTACAGTGTGCATAGGAATTCATTCATGCTTTTTTTCACATTATAATCCGGCCCTCCAACAGTCTGAGGGACTATGACCTGGCCCTCTGTTTAAAAAGTTTGAGGACCCCTGCTCTATAGGCAGGAGGTTCTAGAATTGCCACTTAAAAGAGCAGTGAGCAAGGCTGAGTCTTTGTAGAGCCATCGCCAGAGCAGACAACACCTAAGCTAGATGGATCTGTGGCCAGGTACAGGATATGGCAACTTTGTCTGTATGTTTATGAATGCCATGTGCGTAGGATCCGACCTGGAAAAAAATCCATGGGACTACAGTACTCAGAATATAAAAGGACACATTCTGGGAGTTATTGTCCAAGCAAATAATCTTTCTGCCCTTGCCCTGAATCACAAAGAGATTCTGAGCCATCAAAAGCAAATAGGGACTTTACTGACACTTTGCTCTAGTCCAAATTGGTGATTGCGGTGGCTATAGTCAAAATAGTATGCAGTGATGAATGCTGTAAATCAATGTACTGTTTGGGGATCTTGGAAGCTGGGCAGGGTCAGCCCTGGTTAGTACTTGGATGGGAGGCTATCAGCAAATAGCAGGCGCTAGGGGTTTTCAGAGGAAAGAAGTGACAAAACTGTCTCTGAGGATTCTTTGCAAAGAAAACCATATGAAATTCATGAGGTTGCCATTAGTTGGCAGGCAACCTAAAGGTACATATAATACATACAAAAAGGTGTAGAAGGTCAGATGGTATGGTATGACCAGTAGTCGTGATACTGTTAAGGGTGTGTGGGTGAATTGTAGTTTTGTAGTTGAAAAAAAAATGAACTCGTCAAATCTTTGCATTTAGACATTTCAGCGTGCAAGGCACTTTGAAAGTGCTTTGCACATTGATGATACTCTATAAGAAATAAATAACCAACCAGCCTTCCTATCCCAGTGTTCTTGTTGTTGATGGAGATATTATGGATAGTGTTCAAGATTAGAAGTGAATTCTTTCAGTGCCAAACTTTGTGTACTTCTGAATTAATCAATGCAGAGCACATATAGTAGAGTAGGCATTGGCAAATCCCAGCCCTCCAGGTGTTTTGGACTTTATCTCCCAGAATTTCTAACAGACAATTGGATCCCCCCCACCCTCACCAATGCGGGTCTGCTTCCAGGAGCAAACCAAGAATGGGCAACTTGGAAGTCCCTGAACAAATTCAGAAGTGGAGTGGGCAGATCAAAAGACAACCTGGCAAAATGGCAATATCTAAAAGAATCCTCCATCTTGTGTGACTGTGGAGCAGAACAAACAACTCAGCATCTGTATGCCCTGCCTCATGTACAGTGGAAGAATTCTTGGAGGCTACAGCTAATGCAGTTGCTGTTGTTTGTTTTTGGTCCGAAGATATTTAGCCGCTTGTGCTCCTTCTATTTTTATCAGTTTTTATACTAATTTATGCAATATTATTGATGCAAAATAAATAAAACATCTATTTTAGACAATTGGGATGCAGAGTTGTTTCATCGCTTTGTTAATATAGTGTAAACTGGGACATGAGATCCTGGCTTAATCTTTCAAAATGATTATTTTATTTTGTTAATCTTCCAGGAGCTGTGTAAGTCCCCAGTGTTTTTTTCTGCAAAGAAAAAAAGTTGCATGCTGCGCCAAGGAAAGCTAGGTATGGAATTAAGACAGTAGGTGTTATTTTGATCTATGAGTATTCAAAAACTGAGCAATAGTCGCGGAACTTCCAAACAATAATCATTTGAGAATAAACTCAACCCAAAACAGAATGTTACACAAAACTCAAGATTGCTCAGGATTGCTCTGTGCCATGTACTTCTACCTCCAATGTAACCTTATGTCCAATTTTGGAAAAGTTGTTTTTTTGTTCTAGGTATTGGCTATATTTATAGGTGATTCTGTGAACTATAATCAAAAAAGTAATTTTCAATGGTTACTTGCTGAACAAACCGTTCTTGAGCAAAGGATTTTCTTGACTGAAGAAGTTTTTCTGTTTGAGATGAAAGAAAATGTGATATACTCAACTATGGGTGAGTTTACACTGGCCTCTAAATCTGTGATCAATCCACAGTATCTGGAGCACATGGCTGAACTTACTGTAGTGCCACATTGGCATCCACATGGTTCAGCATGAATGAGATCTCATTGGTCCCATTGAACCATCACCTCACTTCTGTGCTGCTGCCAGACACAGAGCTTGTGCAACCAGGAAGCAATTTCCTCACATTTTCCTGTTTGTGCAGACATCTCTGTTGGTGTAAGAATGGGAACTCACAATAACTGGAAGCTTGTGCAGAGCTCTACATCTAGTGGGGAGTAATATGAGCATGATCCATCTCCTTTCTTCACATTGGAAAAGGATCAGTCTGGAAAGCGTATCGGTTCTAATTAGTTCCAGTAGTGTTGTCCACTTTGCCCTTATTTATCGTGTCATCAGCAACCATACCATTGTAACTCTCTGTTCTTTCTGGCAGTGGCTGGTCATTGTGGTCATTTACACTTTGCCCTGAAGCCACAAGATATTCCAGTTTCCAGAAAACTCTGTATTATCTCCCAACTTTGCCCAAAGTGGAACAAAGCCAGTTTAATTCTGTCAAACCCATAATACTCATGGGAAGTAAACAAGTGTTAGAACAGGGGGTTTCAAACTTTTTCAACTGTGGAGCCCCTTTGGAAGAAAATGTTTCTCATTGAGCCCACATAAATCTTTATATATTATATTATATATAATTATATATATCAGGCATGGGCAAACTTTTTGACATATTGTGTTTTAAAATTCGACAGATGGGGTGGGCCAGTGACAGATGGATGGAGGGAAAGCTTGGAGGGGGGTGGTAGGAGGAGGAGGAAACTACAGTCCCTTGGTATGCTTTGGAGAGCCCGAAGGGCTCCACGGAGCACACTCTGAGAACCTCTGTGTTAGAAGAACAGCCAGAGAATTTGGGATTAATTGTTGTTCTATGCTCCATTTACAGATGACCTCTACAAGAGAACCTTGCACATGTTTATCTAGTCTAGTTGTTGAACCCTGGCTGTGTCAAATACTCTTTATAGCCCTATTCTACCTCTGAGGTTGTCCAGAAGATGCAGAATAGAGTGTACACGTACAATTCTGTTCATTTGAATTTTGTCATTGCTCTCTGCCTCTTATAAATTAATATCTAAGGCAACGATCTGACTCTAAAAAGAAATAAAAATACAAAAGTCAGGTTTTACTATAATCCAGTCAGGTATCAGGCTAAATATTACAACAATAAATATCGATATGTGGAAAACAGGTCAATAGTCTAGGTACTTATGGAAGTCTGAAAGTACACAAATATAGAATAAAATCATAGACATTGACAACTTCCAAGTACATTTTTACATAAAATACCTGCTTTCTTATGTAATATGAATGATAACCAAAAATTATTGTTGAAAGTAAATTGGAGTGTACAGGATAGTTTCTGAATAATGTAGTTCCATATGAATGATACAGCTCATACATGTCTGAATTTTCACTACCTCCCCTTAAATATTCTAAAGTAGTTTTCTGGTGCAGTTTTTAATTCATGCTGCTTTACACTCTCTCTGGAAATGTTTTTGTGCAGAAGATTGCTGGTTTTTGGCTGCTGTGGAAGCTTTAACTTTTCAACAAGATATCTTGTTTAAAGTAGTGCCACAGAACCAAAGTTTTGAGAAGAAATATGCTGGGATATTCCATTTCAAGGTGAGTATCAATCCCAGTAGATTTGGTTTGACAAACCTCTCCTACTTGTATAAGGAGATAAATAATTCTTTTAGAATTCTATAAATAAGCATTTTAGATGTCTTCATGCTAATAGGGTTTCCACAGTAGTTCCAGAGGTAGACAAAGAAGGCGGAAAACTCCAGCATGTCCAATGAGGGATCTATCTTTATTTCTGGGTTTTTTAAATGTGTCCTGACAAGTGCAGCTATGTTTTGAATCCAGTGCTGGAGATTTGTATAACTGCATAATTTGAATAGACAAGTATCCAGATAGACAGCCTATCTAGAATCGTTATTCATTTATTGTATATAATATAGTACTCAATGATATTTAATATCGTGTTATTATTCCAATAGTGGATACTTGTCTATTCAAGCCCTTGGGAACCCATTTTTGCTTTTTATAACTGCATAATTGGCAGGAGAAGAGTCCACATCATCCAGTTGGACTGAACCAAATTCAGCCCAACTGAACAGTTCCTTTTACCTTTGTTTTGGTTTGTCACTATAGCAGTAGCCATGGAACTCCAAAGATCTCCTAGCCACTGCTCACCACTTTTACCAGCATTAGAAAAAGTGCCACACAATTCAGAGAGAAGCAGGTGGAAAGAAGGGGGCAGTTCCAAATAGGAATCAGTACAAAGTGTGGAGTTGCTCCAGAGTTTCAGGGAAACTCTCAAGAATTTTCAGACTTTGCCTAACTTGGAGAAGAACCACATTAAGCAGCTGTGTTTCACATTGGAGGAGAAATGTCTCACTCTAGTATATGAATGCAATGGAGTCAAATTTCATTCATATATTGTATTTGGTCCATATAGATCAGTAGTTCCCAACCATTTTTTGACCAGGGACCATTTTGACTAGGGACCACTCTCCAACATTAGTACCAAAAGAGTTACAAATCAGTTTTTGGTCAACTTGGGGTTGGGGTGCTGATTCAGAAAATTGCATTGGATAGTCCACATCAGCTCTAGTTTCTGATACAGAACATATGCCATAGTGAGTGACAGGGAAGGAGTGGCAGGTGACATAAAAGGAGCAGGAATAAAATAAACAAAATAAAATAAATAAATGAAGAGGAAGGAAGCTCGCGAACCAGATTTTCATCCTTGCTGTCCACTGGTGGTCTATGGCCCACAGGTTAAGAACCACTGATATAGATGCACCCAGGGACAAACAATTCCTGATTCTCTGATTTTCCTTTCTTTCTGTTTAAAATAAGACCTGAAGTCTAACCTTGTCTGGAATCCTGGTGGCAACATGCATACATGTAATTCATGCATTATGTGCTCTTATATCTTGCTTTGGACACATAGCCCCTTGTGAAGTCCAGAACATCCCTCCAGCAGATGTCAAGTGCTGCTGTGGCTGTTTACTGTCTAGGGTTGATGCTTGACGCAAGAAATTCATCTGGCCAAGAAGTAGTCCATCTTGGCCTCACAGCTGAGGGGAAAACAAACAAAATTATTCTCTTTGATCTTGTTTCTCATCCTCCCACCTGCTGCTCCAGCCATGATTGATGGGTTCTTGTTTGCCTGAATTGATTCTTCCTTTCTTCCTACCCACTAATGAGCAGCCACCATACTTTCCCCCTCTTTACATCCTGTGCATGGTAATGCAGGATTTTGTTCTTTGTGCCACTTGACCTACGATCTTTAGCGCAAGCTAGGCAATATATTTAGAAGCTAAATAAGTGCTTTTCAAGTGGTACAAGGTGCCTGTTTTCCAAAAAGGTGCTTTTTCTCACCTATTTGACTTATTTATTATGCTATATCCTATGATTTGTCACTGGAATTTGCAAGTCTCATGGCTAAAGCACCAATACTTCAAGGAAGTCTGTTGCAGGCAGGAAAATTATTAATACACATTCCTCTGAACATCTAGTTTGACTATGAGATTAGCTTTTTTCTAGTATTATCTAAGCTGTGGGAAAGAGATATTCCCAAAGGATATTTGGACATTTTAAATTTTGTGTTGGATTTTATACACCAGTTGTGTATAACTCACCACGGCATGTTAATTATAATTATAATATTGGTTATACTTATTGTCAGATCCTCTTAAATTGTTCTCATCTGTGTCTCAGCTCATGAAGTGTGCTTAGTTCACTTATAAATATAGGCTGGAAGAAGTTGTCTCAGATCCTGGGATATGGGTTTAAAATACCTTCTTTTCATTCTCCAACAATACGATAAGAACCTCTTTGAAAAATATGATGACCATGTATTGAATACGACTGATCTAATTGTTTTCCATTCCAGTTCTGGCATTTTGGTGAATGGGTTGATGTGGTAGTAGACGACCGACTGCCTGTAAATGAATTTGGTGAATTCATTTTCCTCTCTTGTATTCATAAAAACATATTCTGGGGAGCTCTTCTGGAGAAGGCATATGCCAAGTAAGTGCATCATCAAGAATTCTTCTTTTTATTGCTCTGTGCTTAAATAATACTATCCTCCAAGTCTCATTCCTTTATGACTCTACTGTAATAAACCAATCAAACAAAGTTTACTTTTTTTTAAAATGAAATGTTTGTAATAACTTTCTTCACAGGCTGTGTGGTTCCTATGAAGATCTGCAAATTGGGCACGTGTCTGAAGCTCTGGTGGATTTCACGGGTGGCGTGAACATCACTATAAAGCTGGCTGAAGCTCCACCTGACCTCTGGAATATCTTGACTAGAGCAACCTACAGCAGATCTCTTATAGGCTGCCAGACTCAACCAGGGGTGAGAGTTCTTTCAATTTTAAGGACATATAGTAAGCAAATGCAGATTTCCTTTTTTGGGATTCATCGCTTCTCTGTGATGTAAGCTGGGATTTTTGCTGGATAGAAATTGAAATGATGGTCTTCTCAAGTTATTATCACCATACAATTGGCTAACAACATTAATTTCTGGAAGGGGTGTAATTAGTCACCAAGTTTTTCCTTGAAAAAAATCACAAGTACTTTAGCAATTTTCTTCCTGCTGTGAGAATGTCTTTGAAAAGCCTATTTCTAGGATGGAGTTATATCATTCATTTTAACCCTTACCCCAGTGGTTCTCAACCTGTGGGTCCTCGGGTGTTTTGGCCTACAACTCCCACAAATCCCAACCAGTCTACCAGCTGTTAGGCTTTCTGGGAGTTGAAGGCCAAAACATCTGAGGACCCACAGTTTGAGAACCCATGGCTTATCTCAATCAGGATTTTTAAAATCTCTACCTATGCCCCAGGCCATCTATCTTTTATTAGCCTTAGTAAATAATCTTTATATAATAGATAATTCATTCCTGAAACTTCACAACAAGCAAAAGGAGAAATTTGCTGAGGAGTCAATATCTAGCTGTTTATATTTACAGTGAGGCAATTCCTTTCTGTATTCTTATAAAAGCCGATTGCATTAGGAATGCAGAACATAATTACGCATTTTTCTGTCCTTCTCTACAGCCAATAAGAGTACTTGAGAATGGATTAGCAACCTGCCATGCCTACACAATGACTGACATCCAAAAAGTAAGTTCAGCTCTGTTTTGTATTGTCAGGTATAGCCAAAATGATATCATATTATCAAATAGAAAAGAGAACCGATGCTGACCATCTCCATTGTTTCCATCACTGGCATCCATTAACTGGGCCTTTGACAGTTAAATATTAGGGTTGTGTACAGAACCATTTTCATTCTTTTAATCTGTTCTTTCATTACCTTTGGGAGCATGTAACGGGAAGGTCCCTCCCAGTACAAAAATTAGGTTGACACAAAAGCAAGTGGGAGATGATCCCAGTTCCTTATCTGCTTTTCGTGAGCAGCCTCCTTGCCTTAGAAAGCGTGCATGTGTGGCATGCAGGCCCAGAAGCCGCACATACCTGCCTGCAGCTGAGCACCTCCTCTAGAGCAAACTTTCCTCCTTGCCTTGGAAAGTGCGTATGGTGTGCAGGCTCAGAAAGTGTGTATGCCTGCCTGCAGCCAAGTGCCTCTTCTAGAGTAAGAAATGGGTAAGAAGCCATCTTAAAGCATGTGCCTGCCTGCATCTGAGCATCTCTCCTCTAGAGTAGAGCTGAAATGCCTAAAATGATGGGAAGGGTAGCCTGGGAAGCCCCCACCCATAATGGTCCAATAGAAATTGGAACTTTTGGCACCACAGATCAAAAACAGATATCTACCCTCCCGATTTTAGGAGGCTCCCAAAAAAATGGATTGGGACCCCCACTGAAAGCCAGGACATGAAATGGGCCAAAGTTTACCCTGAATGCACAACCCTATTAAATATGTCCAAAAGACTGGCTCTCTGTTTTGCTTGGAGCAGAGGTTACCTGGTAGGGGTGATATCTTTCAGCAAACAAGACTAAATAACAATGTTGCTTGTCGTAGAGACTGGGTTAACTGCCAGTTGTGTAAAGTCTTACAGTAATAACTTACCTTGGAAAATGTAATGATAGCTGTCTGGCCTGGCTCTGTCATTAATAGGAGAGAGGAGAGTGCCCAAGGGAGAAAATGCTGGGGACCAACAGTTGCAGCCCTGTTATGGGACAGAATACTTCTCTGTATGGAAATTCACCTAACAGTTGAAATAAGACTCAGTGTATCTAGTTTGTCTTTCCCTTCAGACAGTAATATGTAGGAAACTTTTGCCGGGTACTGCTGCTCTTTGCTTTCAATATTTACCAGCATTGATTAAAAATTATGACAGTATTGGAATGGTTTCTTTCTTTCTTTTACATCTGTTTCCTTTTAATAACATGAATAAAACATTGAGGATAATAGCTGGGCCCTTGTGTAAATCAAAGGCTATCATTCATTCATGAGGTTCTTCTGATAGCAAAGTCCACAAGAGCAGGCTGGAATAAGTCCTGCCGAATGGCTTTTAACTGAAATTGTAGACATTCCATATTTCCTACCAGCATTTCATCCAAGTGGCTAGATTGAAGAACAGAGGCGAGAATTATGAAGTGTTTGAGATGTTGGGAAGAGAGCAGTAGTACCACTGGGGCACTTTCACTGTTCACAGTTGTAGCACCATCATTGCACTTGAACTATAATTGAGGCATCTTATAGAATCCTGGCTAGGAATTCCAAATATTCTCTTTGGATCTCATAGGGTAGAATTATGGCTATTAAAGGGGAATTACAGCACTACAATTGTACTAAAGTGACCCCATGTGTTTTATTTCTGACTAGCTTGGGGACCCGGCGCTGCCCGGGTTATTAGAGAAAGTGGGTAATGGTGCTTCTGTATGCCAAGTTTGGTCTTTATTGGTCATTGGATGACGGTGGCATTGTTTTCAGGAAGTGAGTGAAGGTACTTGAAGTTCCATCATCCATGGGGGCTCTGTGTGCTAAGTTTGGTCTTTATCAGTCATTGGATTAGGGTCGCAGTGGTTTCAGTAAATGAGTAAAGGTACTGAAAGTCCCATAATCCATGGTCAACCCTCCTCCAAACAGCATCAAGATGTAGAGTGAGTCATGGGGACTCTGTGTGCCAAGTTTGGTCTTGATCGGACATTAAATGAGGGTTGCAGCAGTCTTGGGAAGGGAGTGGAGGTACTTGAAGTCCCATCATCCATGGTCTGTCCTCCTCGAAAGTGCACCAGGATGTAGAGTGGGTCATGGGGACTCTGTGTGCCAAGTTTGGTCTTGATCAGTCATTGGCGAGGGTCTCAGTGGTCTCAGGAAGTGAGTGAAGTGACTGCAAGTCCCATCATCCATTTTCAAATTTTTCCAAACTGCACCAGGATGTAGAGTGGGTCATGCGGGCTCTCTGTGCAAATTGTGATCCTGATCCATCACTGTTGGCAGTTGTAATGGTCTCAGGAAGGGAGTGCAGGTATTGCAAGTCCCATCGTCCATGGTGCATCCTCCCCCAAACCGCACCAGGATGTAGAGTGCATCATGGAGACTCAGTGTGCCAAGTTTGGTCTTTATCGGTAATTGGATGAGGGTTGCAGGAATTGAGCAAAGGTACTGCAAGTCCCATAATCCATGGTCCATCCCTGGCCAAAACACACCAGGACGTAAAGTGGGTCATGAGAGGTCTATGTGCCAAGTTTGGTCCTGATCAGTCATTGGATGAGGTTAACAGCAGTCTCAGAATGTGAGTGATGGGACTGTAAGTCCCATCATCCATGGTTCATCCTCCTCCAAACTGCAGTAGGATGTAGAGTGGGTCTTGTGGGCTCTGTGTGCCAAATTTGGTCTGTATTGGTAATTTTCTGACCTAGCCCCCTCTGGCCTTTTCCTTTCCTCTCTTTGTTATCTCGGAACCTTGGAATTGAGGTTGGCCAATCAGAGACCAAATGCAAATTTCCTTCTGTCATGTCCCCATTTCTGTCATGAACCCTTTTCTCCACCAGGGGCTCCTGTTGAAGCAGGCCAATCAGGGAGCATATGCAAATAGCAGCACAGCGGCAGCCATTCAGAATCTTGGAATTGAGGCTGGCCAATCAGAGACCAAATGCAAATTTCCTTCTGTCATGTCCCCATTTCTGTCATGAACCCTTTTCTCCACCAGGGGCTCCTGTTGAAGCAGGCCAATCAGGGATCTTATGCAAATAGCACCACAGCAGCAGCCAGTCAGAATCTTGGAACTTTCAGGCTGGCCAATCAGAAAGCCGGCACATACACCGCCACACATCCGCCGCATACAAGTTTTGACTTTTATTATATACTAGCTTGGGGACCCGGCGCTGCCCGGGTTATTTGAGAAAGGAATTGTGTATCAAGGTTGGTCTTTATCAGTTATTTATATGGCTCACAGTGGTCTCAGGAAGTTAGTGAAGGTACTGCGAGTCCCATCATCTGTGGTCCATCCTCCTCCAAATTGCACCAGAATGGAGAGTGGGTCATGGGGGCTCTGTGCACCAAGTTTTGTTCTTGATCAATCATTGGATAAGGGTCACAGTGATCTCAGAAAGTGAGTTTAGGAACTGCAAGTCCCATCCTCCATAGTCTGTTCTCCCCCAAACCTCACCAGAATGTTGAGTTGGCCAAGGGGGCTCTCTGTGCCAAGTTTGGTCTTTCTTGGTATTTGGATAAGTGTCGCTGTGGTTTCAGGAAGTAAGTGAAGGTACTTGAAGTCCCATCATCCATAAGCCCATCCTCCTCCAAACAGCACCAGGATGTAGAGTGGGTCATGGGGGCTCTGTGTGCCAAGTTTGGTCTTGATCGTCATTGGCAAGGGTCTCAGTGGTCTCAGGAAGTGAGTTGAAGTCCCATCATCCATGGTCTGTCCTCCTCGAAAGTGCACCAGGATGTAGAGTGGTCATGGGGGCTCTGTGTGCCAAGTTTGGTCTTGATCAGTCATTGGCGAGGGTCTCAGTGGTCTCAGGAAGTGAGTGAAGTGACTGCAAGTCCCATCATCCATTGTCAAATTCTTCCAAACCGCACCAGGATGTAGAGTGGGTCATGCGGGCTCTCTGTGTAAATTGTAGTCCTGATTCATCATTGTTGGCAGTTGTAATGGTCTTAGGAAGGGAGTGCAGGTATTGCAAGTCCCATCGTCCATGGTGCATCCTCCTCCAAACTGCACCAGGATGTAGAGTGCATCATGGAGACTCAGTGTGCCAAGTTTGGTCTTTATCGGTAATTGGATGAGGGTTGCGGTGGTCTCAAGAATTGAGCAAAGGTACTGCAAGTCCCATAATCCATGGTCCATCCCCCGCCAAACCACACCAGGACGTAAAGTGGGTCATGAGAGGTCTATGTGCCAAGTTTGGTCCTGATCAGTCACTGGATGAGGTTAACAACAGTCTCAGAATGTGAGTGATGGTACTGCAAGTCCCATCATCCACGGTTCATCCTCCTCCAAACTGCAGTAGGATGTCGAGTGGGTCATGGGGGCTATGTGTGCCAAGTTTGGTCTGTATTGGTAATTTCCTGAAACAGCTCCTGGCCTTTTCCTTTCCTCTCTTTGTCATCTCGGAATCTTGGAATTGAGGTTGGCCAATCAGAGATCATATGCAAATTTCCTTCTCATGTCCCCGTTTCTGTCATGAACTCTTTTCTCCACCAGGGGCTCCTATTGAAGCTCGCCAATCAGAGACCATATGCAAATAGCACCACAGCGGCAGCCAATCAGAACGCTGGCACATACTCCTCCCGCCACACGTCTGCCGCATACAAACTTTGACTTTTATTATATGTATAGATATAGATAGATATAGATATAGATGTTCTAGATATCCAGCATGGCTGGAAAAAGCAGTAGCTCTCTTTAAAGCAATCTGTTCTTGTTTTGCACAGGTGGCCTCTAAACATGGACCTGAAAATTTGGTAAGATTGAGAAATCCCTGGGGGAAAACAGAATGGAAAGGTGACTGGAGTGACAAGTGAGTGTTTTACAGCTGACAGAATGGTGGTTTAGATATATGAAACCATATTGCCACCTGCAGGTAGAGATTAAAAGAAACAATCACATTTTAGGAAATGATGGCACTGGTTTTCAAAGCAACTATGATGTTATTTTGATTTGTCAGAAAGCAATGATGGAGAAAGTCTTGGGCAAAAATAGCCTTGCATAGAACCAGCTGACTGTCCATGACAATACAACACAGTATGATAGTTTTTGCTCGTCCTTTGTGCTACCAAACCATCTGTCTGAACTGACTGTCTCACTCTGCCTTTGGATGGACCTCACAAATGAGGTGCTCTAGAGATCCAACAGACTTGATATATTAGGCTGGTTACAGCGATGGTCTAACGGCCCTTTTATATAGCCATGTGAAATCTGAGTTTTCATTTTGAAGGCTTTCAAGTAATATCTGGCCCCTTCTACACTGTCATTTAAAATCCAGACTATCTGCTTTGAACTGGATTATATGGCAGTGTAGACTCATATGATCCAGTTCAAAACAGATAATGTGGATTATCTACTTTGATAATCTGGATTATATGGCAGTGTAGAAGGAACCTCTGATGTGATGACTGTTTAAATAACTGTTTGTAAAAACCATACAGGCACAGTCATAATCCATTTCATAACAAAGCTACATGAGTACCGTTTTAAAAACTGAATTTGTCCTCTAGATCTGAGAAATGGGAACTGCTCAATCCGAAGGAGAAGATTTTGTTGCGAAGAGATTATGAAGATGGTGAATTCTGGTACCTGAATGACTCAATATCTCACTAATTCTTCTTGTTTCTCTTCCTTCTCTTGCTTAGTGCAGGGATTTTCAAATTCTCATAAACTTGTGTAAAATAATATATTGCTCAAGCTCCTCCTTGTCTCTCTCTTTCCAAAATGATGATTAGTGGTTTCCATTTCAGTGGGGTGGAGAATCCTTTCTGGGTCATAGCCCAAACTCTTAAGTGAACTTTGCAAGGTGGTGAAACAGATCCTCAAATTTTTTCAACACCTTGGATAGTTTTTTAAAAGTTTAGACTAAAACCCAGAGGGAATTTACCACATAATGAATGAGAGTCGCCATCCACAACTGCTTTTCTTCTGCATATTCAACTTTTCTACCATGCAATTAGAATAATGGATGTGAGAGAGCAGAACTGTGTTTGCACCCCCATTTCCAGCACATCACCGATACTTTGGTCTGCTGTTCTCCCCACATGAGCAGGAGGAGGCTGAAATTAGGCAACTTTGACAGTCAGATTTTATACATGCTGTAGGCCTGGCCATAAACTGCAAACTCTTGGCTCCAGAAGTTCCCACTCCAACACCCAAAAGATTTGATATTGAGCAACAAGATGCAAATAGAGGTGGAAGATGTGAATGTGACTCTCCTCTAACCACAATATTGTTTTAATTGCATACATTTCTCTCTGAATGAATCTATTCACAAGGCCTTTCACAAATATGAATGCAAGGGTAAGGAAACACCAAGACTTTTTAGCTGCATAGTAAAGTAAAAAGTAAAGGTTTTCCCTGACATTAAGTCTAGTTGTGTCCGACTCTGGGGGGTGGTGCTCATCTCTACTGCTAAGTCAAAGAGTCATTGTCCATAGACACCTCCAACGTCATGTGGCTAGCATGACTGCATGGATCACTGTTACCTTGGGCCTAACAGCAGGAGCTCACCCCGCTCCCTGGATTCGAACCGCCAACCTTTCAGTCAGCAAGTTCAGCAGCTCAGCAGTTTAACCTGCTGTGCCTCCGGGGGGGGGGGGGGGGGGGGGGGGAGGGAGCTGTATTGTACTTGTTTAAAATTTGAAATTGTTAGCCACTTTTAATACCCATTTCGGGGAAGGAGGTAGGGTATAAATGATGATGGTGATTCTTTCAAATGTGTTCAAGGATTGACATAAATCGTTAACACATACAAATACACACACACTCACACTTAGCTTTATGTACTCATATGCCGTATCTGTGTTCTGGTACTTTGTGATAGAGAAAAATGGTTCCTTTGGTATCCCTTATGCCTGCTTTGCTACCCAAATACTCTGAGGAAGGATTGCATTAGCCAGGAGAGGTCTTTCTGTTATCTCCCTACTTGAGAAGTAGCATTTACTTGTGTGGGAATGGGCATTAGTTTGTTGACTGAGCTTTGACTTGGAAGGCAGAAACAGAATGGATCCACTTTGCAAAGTTGAAGCAGTTTCAAATCATGTCAACTGTCACGGCTACATCCTATAGAATCCTAGGTTTTGTTCTACAGTGAGATAGTCACAGCAGAGGATTGCATTTTGAAATCACTCATTCTGAATTCAATTCCATCAGGGAAAAAATCCATATCTGCATTTGTGTACTTTTGGCAGATTTAATTTAGGCTGACACCAAAACATGGAATCGTACAAGCTGTTCACCATCCAATAATGCACACACATTTAATATACTAGATGTCAGGTATCAGATACAGTGACACATCAAATATATTATATGCCATCAATCAAATACAATCATATTCCAAGAAACTGTCAAATACAGATGCAAATTGATGCTAAATGATACATTAAATCTGAGTTCAAACATGTACCAGATGACAAATTCACAATTATCAACAAATATGTGGTATTTTAAAAATATTTGAATAATGAAAGTACTGGGTAATCATAGGGGTTTTTTTATCATGTCAAAAGCAACTTGAGAAATTAAAAGTTGCTTCTGGTGTGAGAGAATAGACGTATAAGGACGTTGCCCAGGGGATGCCCGGATGTGTTTCCATCCTGTGGGAGGCTTCCCTCATGTCCCTGCATGGGAAGCTGGGGCTGACAGATGGGTGCTCACCCCATCTCATGGATTCGAACTGCCAATCTTCAGGTCAGCAGTTCAGCCAGCACAAGGGTTTAACCCATTGCACCACTGTGGCTCTTTACTTTAATCATAGTAAAATTTGATCATTCCAAATGTAGGACATGTAATCTTTTAAAAAATGGCTAGACCTTTGTATGAGATTTACAGCAACCTGAATGGACTTATGTCTGCAGTAAAAATAATTTTGCAATAACAACATGATGAGAGACAAGTTCCAGTACTTAGACTGGAAGCCATGAATAACAGCAATGAAACACTTCTATTGAAAGCATACCAAAGAATCCCACCAGAGAACCTACAAAATGCCTAGAGAGAACATTATGCTTTCAGGCGTGGGTGAGTGAAACCATGGGTACTGATCCCACAGATATGAGGACCATATTGTATCCTATTCAGCAATGGGCTGCAGTGAAGTTAGTACATAGGGAAACAGTGGAGTGACACATTGAGATTGATGCACAATGGGTGGTGGTCCATATTGGTGGCAATGTGCACTGGGAACTTCCAATGTGCATCTGGAGTGCTGATGAGCATTGCAAGAGCCTGAAACACATTGGAACACTCTTGTTAGTATTCTGATATGCCCTGATATAATTCACTAGGAGGATTACATAGCACATTGACTAGGTAGCTAAATATGTGTAAAGTCCAACATAAACTATGATATAGAACTCCAGCCAACATTTTCAACCTCTGTTTTGACATCAGTATTTGGTGGGGAGAATTTTTAGAAACAAATTAATTCCAGCTCTAATTTGACCTGAAGAGCCTAATTAAGAAAGCCCTGATCCCCTCTCATTCTAGTTCCTCAAAGGAACAAAGACATGCTATTTTAAAACAAGATTGGATTGCGATAATGATATAGGATTATGATTAGCCTTAAAAACAAAGATTAAAAGGAAACAAGAATGCTATTGTCAAATATCTGAAGGACTTTTAGGAAGATCATGGAACAGCATTACAGTCAGCATTACTTTTTATACTTGTCGAGGAATCACTCCGAGTCGCCTCTGGGCTGAGAGGGGCAGTATATAAATATGGTAAATAAATAAATGAATCGTTCCTAACAATGTTTCTTGGAAGAAAAAAGTTAACCTTTGTTGACATCCAAAATATCTTGAGATTTCCTGTCTCTGACAAAGAAGTTACATATAGCTGTTGTCATAGTTTAAGGAGGTGCCAGTCATTTCAATTTTAAACATTTATCTATTTATTTACACATATTGTTAGATATGTACTCAGTCACATATTCTTATAGCCTGCTGTCATAGTTTAAGAAAGTGCCACTCTTTATTTATTTATTTATTCACATATAGTGTTAGATATCTATGTAGCCAACAGATTCTTATAATCTTCTATCTTGCCAGTTTTGCCATTGTTGTTATCATGGTATTTAAAGCAACAGAAAATAAATCTGAATTAAATTTTAGACTATAATGGTATAGAAAAGATCTGAAAGATCTCATATACACAGAACCGAGGGAATGATGACATGGTTATGCTTCCATACAGTATGGAAATTATTAGATATGTAGCAGTAATATCCACCTTCTACACATTGCCCTGTCATTGTAGGAAAAAGCATCCCAAGATATTTCCCTTGTAATGTTCAAATCTTTATCATATAATGGCTTTGGATCTTGGTGTAATTCTGACTTACGCCCACTCCTAATCCTTGGAAGTAGAAGTCTAATTGATTAATAAGGGACTCTTTGTGAAGTATTGCTCCAGATTTCATGCACAGAGATACACTTCAGAGGATTATACAACAAATTACAAATCATGCAGGCTTTTGAAGCTTTGGAAATATCACCAGGCAAAGAACGCTAAAAAGTCATACAGGAGAAGGTGCCATTTCTATTGCCAGTTAAGATGTGCTAAAGCAGGGCCCCTCAAACTGAAGGCCGTGGGCCCGAGGCAGCCCTCATTTACTTGACCCTTGCCCTAAACTTTAGACTTAGACTTTAGACTTAGGGTTGCCCTAAGTCTGAAACAACTTGAAGGCACACAACAACAACAACAACAACAACAATCCTAAATAACTTGACTGTCTCATCAGCCAAAAGCAAGTCCACACTTCTCATTGAAATACTGATACGTTTATGTTGGTTAAAATTGTTTTAAATATTTTACTTTTGTACTACAAAAAGATATGTGCAGTGTGCATAGGAATTCATTCATTTCCCCCCCCCCCCAAACTATAGTGTCCTCCCCTCCCACAGTCTGAGGGAGTGTGAACTGGTTATCTGCTTAAAAGGTTTGAGGACCCCTGAGCTAGAAGGATATCAGTTCAAGCAAGGGCCACTTGGCCACATGGAAACTCAGGTCAAAAAGCAAGAAGAGACAAGGCACTTTCTGTGTGTTTTTTTCACTTTTGTCCAATATAGAAGCCAATGGCACTTTGACAGCTTAAGTGATGTATATTTTTCATTTTGGTTGGCCAATAATGGTATCACTCTTTTCAGGACTTGTTCTGAGAATGGCATACTTTCAGGGTTTTTTTGTATCCTGCTTTAATTTTGCCACGAGGTGGCAGTGGCTACATGCAATTGTATTTCGCCTGTTCTTCGATTTACAAACAGCAGATATTTCTTTGCTATTGCCTTTTTTATGTTAGAACTGCTGCTCACTAGTTGTTATTTAAGGTGTGTTTTATTACTGACAGTGTGTCAGGCCATTGAACATAACACGGGAGTTACAATCACATCTTGTAGTCTAGACTGTGTTGGTTTTGCAGCAGTTAGTGTTGCAGAGAAGTAGAAATATATCAGCTGCACCTAAAGCAGAAATTGGAATCATCTGGCTCTTTTTATATTGCTGGACTATGACCCCTAGCCTTCCTCATTATTGACTATAGCTGCTGAGTTTCACAGTGTAACAACATTTGGAAGGCTGTAGGCTTTCCACCTGAGTTTACAGCTATTGAGCTTTTGCACAAGTTTTTAAAGTATAGCACTGAGCTTAAGATAGAACCCTCTGGCACTCAATTGGTCTCTTCTCTCCAGAATGAAGGTAAACCATTGGTAAGCACCCTTTGGGTTTGACCAGTTAACCAGTTCCCAATTCAACTAACAATAACTTTGTCTACTCTACAATGTTCTATCCTGCTTGATTCTTAGTGCATTACTGGTGGCAGAAAGACATGCTCCATTGCAAGCAGTCTTAAGGAGCTTAGGAGAAGCTAGGTGGCCCATAAAGCTCTATTCTCTTGTAACCACTCAGCATGCTGGGACAGTCAAAGGGTTTTGTATGTACTACACCATCCTGTCAAATTTCAGAGAGAATTAGAAAGAGAAATCAGAACAACCTTATGTCCACTTCTCAAAGATGTACCAGGAACCTCTGCACTTAATACACTGGCCATGTGAGAAGAGGATCTTTTAGAGCAGTGTTTCTCAACCTGTGGGTCCCCAGATGTTTTGACCTTCCACTCCCAGAAATCCTAACAACTGGTAAACTGGCTAGGATTTCTGGGAGTTGTAGGCCAAAACATTTGGGGAGAACCACTGACTTAAAGGGATTGCACAGATTCTAAAACTGCCTGTCTCATAAAAGTAGAATATTCAAATTTTATCTCAAAGTGGCTTCTTTTTTCACCCTAGTCTAATCTTGATTTATCTAGTCTTTGGAAGGTCGTACTGATATACACCAACCTAGACAGGATGTTGTTATTCCACACAGATCTGGACGAACCATTAGGGAGGGTGGGAGCATAGGAACATCATAAAACTACTGCAAGATTCTATTTCATTAATGCTTTGTCATCTTCTTCATCATTACTGTCAGGCAGGGGAAATTGTTACTTGTGCAGGTCCCCCCTCTCTTCTTGGAGTCAAAATAACCCGACCTGCCTAGAGTACTTCATGCCTTGACTTTGGGAGTGGCTATGGGGCTGTATGGTAGCTTGTAACTTTGATTCCCATGAAGCAGTGAATCTTTCATGAGCTTAAGCCTGAACTTTAAAGGAGCTCTGCTATTTCACAAAGGGTTCCAACACCTTGAATAGTTTCTTTCAAATGTGAACTAAAAGTTGGAGCAAATTCACTGCCTCAACAATATAGGTACCACTATAGTTTTGCTGCTCTGTCTTAGTTAAGAAATCTTAGCATGGAGCAGATTTTCTAGTTAGGGGTGTAACTTCTGGAGACCTTGGGATTTTGAGCTGAATTCTGAAGAGCAGCTGCTATCAATGACCAAAATGAAAACACAGTAGCAAGGCAAGCTCCAAAGCCTAATTAAAATACTAAAACAAACAAAAAAGTACAAGAAATAAAAGGCAAAATAAGAAAAGCAATTTATCCTCTTAACCGTGGGATATGGGGAATGGTCATTTGCCGAATGATGTTAGTATTGGGCATCCCGCTAAGTTAAGATACCTGGAACACTTCTGCTCCTTCTTAGTCATCAAATAATAGAGATGGCCATTTGTGGGGAATGGAAGGGGGTCTGCCACATTGTAAAGGTGGCTTTGAGGGCAATTTGGTTTATTTGAGCAGTTAGAACAGAATTCTAACTTCTGCAAAAACAATAAAAAATAAAACATCAATGTATGCCATCATAATGTACAAACATGATGCCAGGCAGTCTTACAGATTGGGTTGTTGTAAGTTTTTTCAGGCTATACGGCCATTTTTAGAGGCAGTCTCTCCTAACGTTTCACCTGCATCTGTGGCAAACATCCTCAGAGGTTGTGAGTCTTACAGATTGCAGACCTTTCTCTTCTTTTAGGCATACAGCTATTCGACTTTGTATCCCTTGCTCCTTTTATTACAGGATGTCTCTGCAAGATTTTCAAACTCATTTTGTTGACCTGATGATCTGTAAATTAACCCCTGATCTCATGAGCCAGGAGGATGGGAAGAAGTGGATGTGCTCCATGCAGTTTGGCAAATGGGTCAAAGGACGTACATCAGGTGGCAGAATAAGCACCCACAAAAGTGAGCGTTGGCTGGCTACTTCTTGAGAATATTCACTTTGAAAAATGATGTCTTGTCATAATAACATAAATATCTGCTCGGCCTAGCTATTCAATTATGTCTAGGGAAGATGTTAAACATTTAGTACACTATTGCAATAATGCTTGCAAAGCAGTTTATGCTCCATTTCAAGTATTATTGCTGAAGATAAAGTGCTGCCTAAGATAGGTATTATTGTTGTTGTTGTTGTACCATCTTTGAAACTAACTGAGAGAAAGTAATTTGCAGTATAAGTTTTCTTAGATTGTTTCAAATGCAAACATAATTTTGTATGATAATGATGCAGAAGACATTTGCTTGCTATAGTGTGAATGACCACATAAAAGAACATATTTTACTTTCTTGTTCATTCTAACCAAGATCAATCATCTCAATAATTCAGCTAACAGATTGGAGAGGGAGAGAACAGTAACTGTATCCCATTTCCATTCCATACCAGTGTTAACCACTCCTCCTGTTAGTAAAGTTTTCAACCAGATAGTGAATCCTGCTCCTGGAACATAAGACCACCCATGTCTTATCTCATTCTTCAGATACATTTTGGATGAACCCTCAATACCTGCTAAAAGTCCTGCGAGGCAATGGCAGCAAAGGGTCCTTATACTCACACAGTGTGTTGATATCTTTGATCCAGAAGCACAAAGGTAAACATCGGAATCGGATGCCTCATCTTCCCATAGGACTCACAGTCTACAAAGTAGGTGGAATGTTTTTACTCCTGAGATAAACAGTGTATGTTCTCTAGCAAACTGACACTTTATTTGTTCTTGTGCACAAGAGTTAAATGATTTCAAAATTCTACCTCATAACCACCCCCAGATGAGATTACAAAAGTATTAGGGCTTATTTATTTATTTACAATTTGGGACTTTTGTTAAAAAAATGTTGGGGGGATGCTGGTGCCTTACCAAAGTACAGCTCCTAGGATTCCCTAGCATAACAGTTAACATAGTGTTAGCTGAAGAGAAGTTCACCTTCATAGATGTAGGTGAAACATCAAAAGAGAATGTTTCTGGAACAGGACAACCTGGAAAACTCACAGCAACCCAGTGATTCCGGGCATGAAAGCCTTCAACAACACAGTTCAACCCCAGTCTGTTAAGATTTCCTTTCTTATCCCAGATGAAAAAGGAAATCTAAGTTTTCTTTACATCCATGGGAAAAAGTATATTGGATCTGCCAAGCAAAAGAAAGGATGGTGTGGCCCATTTTCGCATAATTAGAATATGGATTCTGATCTTTTGATTGGGAAAAGAAGATAAAATGAAAAGAAAAGAAGGCAAGTGTTGGGTGGAATTTTACTTAAGACCAATATACGCTATACATGGGTGTAGAAGATAACTTCAGAAATAACTATTACGACAGTGGTTCTCAACCTGTGGGTTCCCAGGTGTTTTGGCCTATAACTCCAGAAATCCCAACCAGTTTACCAGCTGTTTCTGGGAGTTGAAGGCCAAAACATCTGGGGACCCACAAGCTGAGAACCACTGTATTACAATGAAAACAGTAATATAGTCAATATCACTTGTAGTGGATATACCTGTGATCAGTCCATGTACCTAATCCATTTATTTATTATTTATTTCAACTACTTATACCCCGCCCTTCTCACCCCGAGGGGGACTCAGGGCGGCTTACAGGAAAGGCACAATTAGATGCCCAAAATACACAACAAACAATACAAAATATAACAATTCAACAATTAAAATGAAACATCAATACCTATTAAACATAAAAACTATCTCATGTCAGAGTCCATATATCAGAGTCCATATATCCATTCCATTCCATTGTCCTTGTCTATCGACAGGTCCTTTAGTTAGTTGTCAGCATGGCCAAAAGCTTGGTCCCACATCCAGGTCTTTAGTTTTTTCCTAAACGCTAGAAGGGAAGTCGTCGATCTGATCTCCCCGGGGAGTGAGTTCCACAGGTGAGGGGCCACCACTGAGAAGGCCCTGCTCCTCGTCCCCGCCAGCCTCACTTGTGACAGTGGCGGGGTCGAGAGCAGGGCCTCCCCAGAAGATCTTAAACTTCGAGGTGGGATGTAGAGGGAGATCCGTTCGGACAAATACACTGGGCTGGAACCCAGCACTTTGAATTGTGCTCGGAATTGGATCGGCAGCCAGTGGAGCTGACGCAACAGGGGGGTGGTGTGCTCCCTGTACGCCGCTCCGGTGAGCAATCTGGCTGCTTCTCGCTGGACTAGTTGAAGTTTCCGAGCAGTCTTCAAAGGCAACCCCACGTAGAGTGCGTTGCAGTAATCCAACCGGGATGTGACAAGAGCGTGGACCACCGTGGCCAGATCCGACTTCCCAAGGTACGGGCGCAGCTGGCGCACAAGTTTTAATTGTGCAAAAGCTCTCCCGGCCACCGCTGAGACCTGGGGTTCCAGGCTCAGCGATGAGTCCAGGATCACTCCCAAGCTGCGAACCTGCGTCTTCAGGGGGAGTGTAACCCCGTCTAACACAGGCTGTAACCCTATACCCTGTTCGGCCTTACGACTGACCAGTAGGACCTCTGTCTTGTCTGGATTCAATTTCAATTTGTTAGCTCTCATCCAGTCCGATACAGCAGCTAAACACCGGTTCAAGGTCTGGACAGCCTCCTTGGTGACAGGTGAGAAGGAGTGACAGATTTGGACGTCATCTGCATAGAGATAGCATCTTAGTCCGAAACTCCGAATGATCTCTCCCAACGGCTTCATGTAGATGTTAAATAACATCGGGGACAAGATTGAACCCTGTGGGACTCCACACAACAACGGTTGTGGGGCCGAACAGGTGTCACCCAATAACACCTTCTGGGTCCGTCCCTCTAGAAAGGATCAGAGCCACTGCAAGGCAGTGCCCCCGAGCCCCATGTCTATGAGGCGTCCCAGGAGGATACCGTGATCGACGGTATCGAAGGTCGCTGAATGAGGCGGCCAAGAAGGATACCGTGATCGACGGTATCGAAGGCCGCTGAGAGGTCCAGCAGAACTAACAGGGACACACTCCCCCTGTCTAGCTCCCTGCGTAAATCATCTACCAAGGCGACCAAGGCTGTCTCAGTTCCATGTCCCGGCCTAAAGCCAGACTGTGCCGGGTCTAGATAATCAGTGTCTACCAGAAACCCCTGGAGTTGTGTTGCCACCACACGTTCCATGACCTTGCCCAAATAGGGGAGATTGGAAACAGGCCGATAGTTGTCGAATTGAGTGGGATCCAGTGATGGTTTCTTCAACAGCGGTTTTATAATAGCTTGTTTTAAGCTCGCTGGAAATTTTCCTTCCTGTAAGGAGGCATTAACCATCACCTTCACCCACTCTGCCAAACCCCCTCTGGCTTCCTTGATCAGCCAGGAAGGGCAGGGTCTAGGATGCATGTGGTGGGTCGCACCTCTCCAAGGATCCTGTCCACATCCTCAAGCTGAACCAATTGAAACGAATCCAACAAAACTGGACAAGCAGATGCTCTCGTTACATCCCCAGAGACTGCCGTTAACATGACGCCAAAACCCGACCGGATCCGCTCAATTTTATCCGCGAAGGATCGAGCAAATGCTTCACAGCGAGCCACCGAGTTGTCCGAGGCCTCGCTTTTTGGCGGATTTAACAGGCCCCTGACAACTTGGAAAAGCTCCGCTGGACGATTCTTCGCTGATGCAATATTGGCTGTGATGAATGTTTTCTGAGCTGCCGCTATTGCCACACCGTAGGACCTTAAAAAGGCATTCAGGTGTGTTTGGGCTGGATTGGTGGGATTCTGGCACCACACGCACTCTAACCTCCTCTTCTTTCGCTTCATCGCTGCCAGCTCCTCGGTAAACCAAGAGGCTGGTTTAGCTCGGTTACTCGAGAGGGGGCGTTCCGGAGCGATAGTGTCAATTGCCCTGGTCAACTCATTATTCCAACGAGAGACCAGAGCATCGACAGTATCACTAGCCAAGGAGGTGGAAAGATCCCCAAGAGCCGTCAGGAGTCCATTTGGATCCATAAGTCTCCTGGGGCGGACCATTCTAATGGGTCCACCACCCCTGCGGAGGTTAGGAGGCCCAGTTAGTCTAAAACTGATCAGGTGGTGATCGGTCCATGGCAATGGGGCGATGGTCGGCTCCTCCATCCCGTCACCCTCATCCCATCCCTGGACAAAAACCAAATCTAAAGTGTGCCCGGCACTATGGGTGGGACCAGATATTAGTTGGGACAGGCCCATGGTTGCCATGGTGGCCATGAAGTCCTGAGCCGCACCAGAAAGAGGGGCCTCGGCATGGACGTTGAAATCTCCCAAGACTAAGAGCCGTTGGAAGCTCAACGCCATGTCCGAGACCACTCCCGCTAGCTCAGGTAGGGAGACTGTAGTGCAGCGGGGTGGTCGGTACACTAACAGAATCCCTATCCTGTCCCGGTCACCTATCCTGAAGCCGGCACATTCAAAGGAAGATGATTGTGGGATGGGACACCTGATCAGTGGAATAAAGTCCTTATAGACCACTGCGACTCCGCCTCCCCGCCCTCCAAGCCTTGGCTGGTGCTGAACGGAATAACCTGGTGGACAGAGTTGGGAGAGATTAACCCCTCCCCCCTCATCCAGCCAGGTCTCCGTTATACAAGCCAGGTCGGCTCGTTCTTCTTCGATTAGATCTTGAATGATAGAAGTTTTTCCATTTACCGACCTGGCATTGAACAGCACCACCTTTAGCCTGGAGGGGCCACCATCCTGGCACCTCAGTTGTATTTTGTCAGGAGTAGATTTTGGGGATGTCAAATTGTTATAATTAGTTTCGGGCCGAATAGTAGCATTAATTTTTGGAGTTGTCAATGTCCTATTGAGAATTTGGGGCCGAATTTGCTTTTGTCTTTGATTTCTAGGATCTTTAGAGGTTGCCAATTTGTTATTAAAAATTTTGGGCCGAAATGGTTGTTTTATACTCCCTTTCCCGTATCTCCCTCTGCCAGTCACCACCTCTATGGCGGCCCCCCCACCCGCAGCCCCACCCCCCCTGGGGACGTTCCCTCCATTTCCAGCAGTTGTAATTTCAATAGTGGACACATACTCATAGCGCTGATTATCCGTCTCTGGGTCCCAATATTCCCACCTCTTAATGCTATCTATTCCTTCCAGTGTAGCAAAAGCTGTAAAGTGCACTTGTGTTAATGCTATAAAGTGCGCTTGTGCTAAAGTTGTTATAAAATGCACTTGCGCTGAACAAGCTGTAAAGTGCACTTGTGTTAATGCTATAAAGTGCACTTGTGCTAGAGTTGTTATAAAGTGCACTTGCGCTGGAAATTGGAGGGATATCAATAGCAGCAAAGGTGAAGTAAACATTGACCTAGAGGTAGTATGCTGATGTTAACAGTTAACAGGAACCCAAGAACAGAACATAAAGTGCAATGGCTATGACCACTTGACCTGGGATTTTGGACCACTTAGTAGAGGTATAGGATCTAGCAAGATCTAGAGTGCTTAGAATAATGATGTGGGTTCTAGCAGGATCTAAAGTGCTTAGATTAAAGTGACTTCATGCTGAAGTAGTTCTAAAATGCACAATAATGCAAAGATTTTGTCTTCTATAAATAAATTCACTTCCGACTACTCAGTCAAGACAGACAGTTCGCACCAAAGAACCTGGGTCCCTGGGCCCGTGGAGCAAACAAGCCGGCACCCAGGGCCGGGTCTCCGGTTCTTCTTGGCCGTCTTGGGTGAAGATGATCTCAGC